ATTTCATTTTCATGCAATAAGAAGTCAGCACTAGAAAATTGGTTACTTGCCCAGTATGCCAGCGATAAAACTTGTCCGTAAGTTTCCTTCCTGTGACACAAATATCCTTCGCATTGAGCACAATGCACATATCCCCATCATCACGATTAGGTGCGTATGTTGGTTTATCCTTGCCTTGAATCATAGTAGATATTTGAGATGCTAACCTCCCAAGGACCTATATGACAAGTGACATTTATTATTTAATCACGACTTAAAAGAAAATAAAGTTGGTAGCAAACATTTGTGCTTTCCACATAGATGGGACAGTTTGTATCACATATTTCCATCACCAAGTTTTTTGTCAAAACACTTGAATGATTCAACCCATCCTTCAAAATCTTTCCCTTGTAATTCGTTAAAATCTACAACAATCCTCTATTCTCAAATAATCATGTCTTCTATCCCAATTCACTTACAACCATTGGATCATATGAAAATTTTAAAATGTAAAAATCTCAAGACATATCGAGTGATTGTGAATGAATTGAAATAGGGAATAGAATTATTTGAGCACAGAGGATCCTTGCACCGTTAAAACACTATGCCCTGAGTGGGATGGTTATGAACCAAGAACTGGTCGTAAACGGGGACGAATAATTGTGGGCCTATAGCCCACTTATCAGGATCGTAAACGGACCGAATAATTATAGGCAAGGTTCTGAAAAGCGGTTGCAGTCGCTGTAACGGTGGCGGTAACGCGGTTGCGGTTGCGGTTGCGGTTGCGGGGTGTAAAGGCCGTAGTGTAACAGTTGCGGTAACCGGAACCGTGAATTTTTTTATTTTTCGCACAATTTGAAAAAAACTTACCGATACACATATTTTTTTTCCATGATCATATTTATTGGGTTAAAAATAAATATTGATCAATTTTTGTAAATTTTTAAGTATGATCCAATATATTTTATATTTTTAAATCACTACAAACTGAGTTTTTTATATTTTATTTTAATAATTAATGACTTTATATTATACAAAAAATCAATTACTAACTATTATATATAAGATAAACAATAACAAAAGTAAGAGAATAAATAAGAGCCCCAATATATGTATATATATATACACATATTTTAACCAACCCAAATAGATAATGACCACTCTTATTATTATTATTATTATTTTCAAACAATATATCTAGATAGACACACACAAACAAAATGGTTTAGTGATAACAGTTGAATAGAATAGAATAGGTCATACAGCTTAAACAAATCAATAACATGTTCTTCATCTTCCCTCCTCTCTCTCTATCTCTTGATCCTCCATTTTCTCTTTTTATCTTCCCTCTTCTCCTATTTTCAGTTTTTTTTTTGTGTTTTTTTGAAAGAAACAATTTGGAACCGTTACGTAACGGTGCGTAACAGGCCGTTACGATTGTTACGGCGCCGTTACAACCACTACGGTAGCCGCTACAGCCGACACACCTGTGAATCTCAATCGCACTGCAAAAGCGGCCATAACGGGTGGCGGTAACCGCCAAAACCGTTACGTAACGGCGTTACGTAACGGTTGCGGCCGCTTTTTAAAACCTTGTCCGTTGCACTTCCATCTTTTCAGTTAAATTCTCAGTCGAGTCAGTTTTATTTATGGAATTCTCGCTTAGATCATTTGTCTATTGACCGCTTGCGGTGTTTAGCTTAGTCAAGATTGTTAGGTAAAGTTTCTCTTAGTCAAATTAATAAGTGTCGAGAATGTAAGCTTGCTAAAATGACAACTTTACCTTTTAATAACAATACTTCTATTTCTGCTTCCCCTTTTTCTCTTGTACATATTAATGTCTGGGGCCTTCTCCAGTTCTCACTAAAGGGAGTTCTGCGTACTGTGTCCATTGTTGATGATTGTACCTGTTATACCTGAGTTTATCTTATGACTCATAAATCTGACTTCTACCAGATATATCGTACCTTTCAGTCTATGATCACTACATAGTTTGAAGCCACAATTAAAATACTCTGGTCTGACTTGGGTGGAGAATACTTTAAAACTGAATTCTGTGAGTATTTGGCTACATTAGGCACCATTCACCAAACCTCCTGTACTGATACCCCTGCCCAAAATGGTTGTGCTAAGCGTAAACACCGTCATCTCCTTGAGACAGCTCGATCTCTCATTCTCTCTGCCTCTATTTCGGTACCATTCTGGGGTGAGGCAGTTCTTACCGTTGCTTTCCTCCTTAATCGCATGCCGACTCCCCTTCTCTCCGATTAATCCTCATATCAGGCTCTGTATTCCTAACCTCCTAATTATTCCCTTCTGCGTGTCTTTGGATTTGCTTGTTTTGTCCTCCTTTCCAGTAAAGATAGGACCAAACTTAGTGCCCGGTTTGTCTTGTGTGTCTTTTTGGGTTACAGTCTTACTCAGAAATACTACTGCTGTTACAACCTTGTCTCTCGTCGCCTTTATGTCTCCTGTCATGTTGCCTTTCTCGAACGTCTGGCTTACTTTCAGCTTTTCCCTCTCACTGCTCCCGTTTTCAAAGAGGATTTGGTTCACATTGACCCATTTCCTTTTGAGGTCCCGTCTGATGAGTATACCTCCACTGTTCTTCTTGAGGTCATTCCTAATTCTCCGTCTACGTCACCCATGGCTCCTTCTCCTTCTTCGGCTTCTTCTTCGCCTCCATTGTTGGTCTATTCTCGTCGCCAGGCCCCCCTACCACCAGTTGTCTCTATTCCTGCTACTACTCCTACTTCTGATGACTCTGATCTTGCTGCACACCGATATCTTACTCGTGAGCGTCGTCCTCCAAACAAGTTGGATTGGTCTAATACATGTTTTTCTACTTCCTATCGTACTTTTTTGTCTGTTATTCATTCTTTTTCAGAACCTCAGTCTTACACCGAGGCCTGTCAGGATCCTAATTAGGTTCAAGCTATGGAGGATGAATTGTTTGCCTTGCAGAAGACTAACACTTGGGAGTTGGTTCCTTTGCCTGCTGGCAAAAATATAGTTGGTTGCAAATGGGTCTATAAAGTCAAGACTCATTCTGATGGTTCTCTCAAGCGTTACAAAACTCTCTTGGTTGCCAAGGGTTTCTCGCAGAAGTATAGTATTGCTTATGATGAGACGTTTGCCCCTGTTGTCAAGATGACTACTATCCATACCTTGACTTATGTTGCTGCTGTTCGACATTGGCCTCTCTATCAGATGGACGTTAAGAATGCTTTTCTTAACGGTCATCTCACTAAGGAGGTCTACATACATCCTCCCCCTAGTCTTCCCCACTCCTCTGGGCAGGTTTGTCATCTTCGACGTGCTCTATATGGTTTGAAGCAGTCTTCTCGTGCTTGGTATGATCACTTTCAGACTGCTGCTACCGAGCTTGGGTTTTATCCTTCTGCTTCCAACTTTGCTTTGTTTCTAACACATATCTCGGCTGGTTTTGTTGCTCTCCTACTCTATGTGGATGATATGATCATCATTGGCTCTAATTCTTCTATTATCTCTGAGGCTAAGCAACATCTTTTCCGCACCTTCAAAATGAAGGATCTGAGTCCATTGCGGTATTTTCTTGGTATTGAGGTTGCCTCTTCTACAAAAGGCTATTTTCTGTATCAGGCCAAGTATGCTAATGAGGTTATTCACCGTGCCGGTCTTATTGATACTAAGGTTTTTGATACACCTATTGAGCTTAATGTGAAGCTCAACTCTACTAATGGTGTCCCTCTGGATGATCCCACGTTCTATCGCAAGCTTATAGGTTGTTTAGTTTATTTGACTGTTACTCGCCCTGATCTTGCTTATGTTGTTCGTGTGGTTAGTCAGTTCGTTTCTGCTCCTCGCTCTACCCATTGGGCTGCTTTGGTTCGCATTCTTCGCTATCTCCGGGGTATCATCTTTCAGGGCTTACTGTTGTCCTCTACTTCTTCTTTAGACTTGGTGGCCTATGTTGATTCTGATTGGGCTGGTGATGTTAATGATCGCAAGTCCACCTCTGGTCTCTGTATGTTCCTTGGCGATTCCTTGATCTCTTGGAAAAACAAAAAACAAACTGTTGTTGCTCGCTCTACTGCCGAAGCTGAGTAGCGTGCTATGGCTCATGCTACTGCTGAACTTGTTTGGCTTCGTTGTCTTCTTTCTAATTTGGGTGTACCTCAGCCTTCTCCGACCTTTCTCTATTGTGACAACCGCAGTGCTATTCAGATTGCCCACAATACTGTCTTCCATGAACGGACGAAACACACTGAGATTGATTGTTACTTTGTCCGCTAGCATCTACAGTCTTAACTCTATCTCACTTCCTTTTGTCTCCTCGGCTTTGTAACTTGCGGACTTCTTCACCAAAACTCAAACTACCACTTGGTTTCAGTTTATTCTTAGCAAACTCTCAGTGTTTTTTGCTAAAACACCTTGAGTTTGAGCGGGGATGTGAAAGTATATTGTATATATGGCATACTTGTGTATGTATGGCATGATTGTGTATATTAGAAATTAGGTGTAAATTAGCCATATAGGCGTATTTCCTTTTTCAGTCATTCCTTGTTTAGCCATAGATTTAGGGCTATATAAACTGATGAATACTTTATAACTATATACAATTGAATACACAATATTCTTCAAAAACTTACACTGTTCACATCACTATTCACAGTGCTCATAACAGCCACCCGACAATCCCTAAACACTCGCGTTTTCATTCCCAAAACCCTACCCTTTTACAAACCCCCTTAAACTCCTATTTTTTAAATACTTTTGCAGCCACAAAATCCCACAAAATCCTGCCCTATAAGTCTATTATTGCTGCTGCTAGTGTACTTAAACCGGGCTCACTATTTGTAAGAAAGTAATCCCTACTCGTCCTACATCAACAACTATAACCAGCAACAACAACAAAATTCCAATGTTAATATTAACCAACATGCACGATGCATTAGTTCATTTTGAAAAGATGATGTACTATTTAAATGAATAACCACCCTCCCTGGAAACTAATGGCAGGTTAAAACACAATTACATACCGAGTGTGGCCATGATAGCAGCAAAGATAATTATGCCTACTGGTTGCACCCTCAATTTCCCAATAGGATACTTATAGATGTTAATGTTTTTCATTGACAAGTGAGTGAACCAAAGTATGCCACCAGCCATGAGATCAAGTAAGGAATCCAGTGTTGATGCAGCAATGGCTATTGATCCGGTCTCTATTGTAGCATAAATCTGCAAGACATGATGCATATATATCATTGGTATGAAATAATAAATACAGCTATATATTCTCTACGTCAACTTATCACTCAAAGTCATACAAAGACTGTTTATTTTTCATACAAAGAGTGTCTCTTATGTCAACTTATCACCCAAAGAGTGTTTATTTTTCAGCTATATATTCTCTACGTCAACTTATCACCCAAGGTCATACAAAGAGCGTTTATTTTTTATTCTTTCTATTTAGTCCAAAGCAAAAAGTATGGCATACATGGCAAGATATATTTGTTTTCATTAATTGCTTAATAACTATCTCCAAACACGGGAATCAATCACGAGTATCCACGTAGGAGGTGATATAAAATGGACACAAAAAACTGGGGACATAGCATTTCTCATTAATATAACCTCTTTAAGTACCTTAACATAACATCTTCTTCAAAACTTTTGTTTTGTTGAACAAGACAACTGAAAACAGGCATATCTCAAAGACGGAGAACACTTTCAGAAAAATGAAACGTCACTTTGTAACAAAAAATAAAAAGGAAAAAGAGTAAATCTACAAAGTGAAACTGTTAACTTCCTAACTCATATCATGTATTAGACTGTTAAAATGTACCATGTCAGGATAACTTCCAGAAGTCAAACCCAGAAATTTTGATTAAACTACAAGTAATTACAACTCACCTTAAATGCCAGTAGGATAACATTTGCATAATTAGATATCTTCATTGCTCTTTCTTGTTGGGCTTGTTCTTCGAAATCTTCCTCATCAATGCTGTCAGATGTCATCAAAGAATCAGCTTCCTCAAATGATTTCAAGGTTGCAATTTGTCTTTCATAGTATTCTTTTTCTCCTATAAACAAGGAAATGTCAGATTAAGAGAAAGAGAACAAACGAGGCGAGAGAGAGAGAGAGAGTTTGGCCATCATTTTTTAACACATGCATTATGTCATGTGCAATCCGGTCTAACATACAACTTACAAGTGCTTATGTGCTTATATGCAGACACCTGCAATAAGCAATGTCCTAAAGTATGAATTTAGGTAGTTAACAACTAAGTGGAAACTTTAGCGAAACCCAAATGAACATAAATCCTAAGAATTTTTTATAATATTTTGGGTGTATGACCCCAAATACAGTGAAATAAACCAAACGAAACTAAACCAAACAAAGCTTTGTGTCCCAATCAAGTGGACTCGGATACGTGAATCCTTTTTTCGTCATTTCATACTATTAAAAGCTATATGCTCGGTTAAATTAAATAAATTTATTTAATTCTTTTACTATCACATCCCAAGTCAATTTACGTCTTCCCCTAGCATTTCCTTTTACAATGATCCTATCACATTCTTCTTTACCGATTCATCTGCTAGTCTTCATTGTACATACCAAACCATCTTAGTTTGTTCTTTCTCAACATATTTTTAATTGGTGCTACTCCTACCATTTAATGTATATTCATTTCTATTTCTCTCTGTCCAAAACTTACCAAACACCCACCCAAGCATCCTCATCTTAACTACACTCATTTTATGAGCGTGTTGTTTCTTAATTGTCCAATATTATGTAAACTGCAAAGTATCATTGGTCTTACAATTGTTTTATAAAATTTTCTTTTCAATTTTGTTAGCATCATTGATCACAAAATATGCCAAAAGCACCCCACTTGAACTAACCTACTTTGATTCTATTACAGGTGGGAATTTCTAACACAAAATGAATCATACACGAAGTTAGGGGTTAGGGTTGAACATTTTTCGACATGAACACAATTATGACACGATACAATAACATGATAAATAAATAGGGTTAGTGTCAAACCTGCATAATATGAAGTTGACACAGAAAACCCATTTAATAGAGAATTAGTTACAAATTTTAATATTATTTTCATTAAAGGATGTCAGACATGTTTCAATCTCTTATGTAACCTACACAATTAAATAAAGAAAATATGTAAAATAGTATTTTGAGGTTAATATAGTCATTTTGTCTTTTATTTGAGAGAACATGATCTTTTCATTTATTACTTTGAAGTCAATAAAAAATATATATATATATATATATATTTTTGAATAAAATAGAGTTAAAATTAAATTTTTTTTTTGAATAATTTCATTTAGTAGATATTAGTTTCATGAAATTAAACTTAAGAAAAAGCTTTAATCTTTCCATACACTTAGTATTTTTAATTACGACGAATTTTTAGCACGATACGTTAACATGGCACGAATCAGACGTGAATCCAAATAACATGACACAATAACACAAAATAATAATAATAATAATAATAATAATAATAATAATAATAATAATAATAATAATAATAATAATAATAATAAACAAAATAATAATAATAATAATAATAATAATAATAATATTGTGTTAATGTTAAGAGCATTCTGACACGAATCTGAGATGACATGACACAACACAACACGAACACGATGCCCACCCTTAGATTCTATGGATCACTTCTCTATTATTTTTACTTCCATTGTTACTAAAGTTACATATTCAATTTAGCTAATAATTTTAAACCCTTTTGACTCAAATGATTATCTCCAGATTTCTAATTTAGTGCTAATTCCTCCCTTAGTTTCATCCACTAGAACAATATCATTTGCGAACAACATACACCATGGGACATCATCCTGATTGTGTTTACTTAATTCATCCATGACAAGGCAAATAGGTAAGGACTCAAAGCTTACTTTTGGTATAGTCCTACAATGATTGAAAATTCACTAGTTTCTAGAACAGGTGAATTAATTGTAGTCACAACCTCATTATACATATTTTTATCACATAAGTATACTCCTTGGTTACACTTTTTTTTTCCTTTACCACCCACTATATTATATCTCTAAGCAACCTGTCATAAGGTTTTTTTCTAAATCTATAAAAACTATATGAAAACCCCTCCTCTTCTCTTTTCACTTTTTCATTAATCTACTTAGTAAATATATAGTTTCCACAATTGATTGGCCTAGCATAAATCCAAACTAATTAACTAACAATTACCCTCTCTCACAATCATTGTATGACTCATCAACTTGATACATCTATAGTTGTTACAATTTTAGATATTTCCTTTATTTTTATATATAGGTACAAATATACTTTTTCTCCGCTCATCATACATTTTCTTAATCATTAGAATCTTATCAAATAATTTTGTTAACCAAGAGCTAAGCATTTTCAATGTCAATAAGAATACAATCCAATCCCAATGCTTTACCTAATTTCATCCTCTTTAATATAAATTCCACTTCAAACTCCTTTATTGGATGACAAAACTTATACTCTCTAGTTCCATCAATGCTACCATATTTCTCTCCTAAAGTTTCTAAATGTTTCTCATTTAACATTTTCTCAAAATAACATTTTCACCTTTACATAATATCATCATCCTTCACTAATACCCTCGAATCCTCACTGTTTATACACTTGACTTATTCAGAATCTTTTGTTTTTCTTCTTCTCAATTCAACAAAGTTTGTAAATATTTTTTCTCTTTTTAATATATAATTAGGGAGCCATTTTCTCCTAGCCCGCACCCGCACCCGCACCCGCACCTCCATAAATGGATTTCATTAGAGAAAGAAAATCCCAAAATGGGTACAAGAGCTCTCAAGCTCTAAAATATTCAATATCAAAATATCAACTGAATACTAAAGGGGACTAACCACCTATTTATAGGATAAAAAACCAAACTAATTCTAACTAACTCTAATGGTACTAAAACATAACAACCATACTAATTCTAACTACATCAAACTTCCCCTATGAAGAAAACAACTTGTCCTCAAGTTGGGACTACAATAAAATGACTCAAGACAACACCATCAACAAAATGACTCAAAACAATGATTCAGGGAAGCATAATGAACATGCAACAGCGAACAACACTAAGTAGTTACAAGTCCTTATTCAAGATCATCCTAGCAAATATCCTTCCATCAAAACAAGTTATCATTTATGCACATCAGTCGAAGCCATGTTGAGGTGTGAATAGGCCACTCATGTAGCATGCCGTTTTGGAAGCAAGATTACATCAAAATCATGCTTCTCACATGGTCCCAAAATAAACTCATCCTTCCTCCAAAAAGCCGGCTCCGGGTACCAAATCATCACAAATGGCTTTGGAGATAGCATAAGAGGCATTTCTCACAAAAAAAGATCATTCAACACCCATGAAACTTCAATGTCATGACACTCCACCATAATAAGCCAACAACAACAATCTCAACCAACATAAGAAAGACCTCAAACAAATACAAGGGACACGTAGGTGGACAAATTCAAACTTCTAACCTCCTAGTAAGGTGCATGAACTCTTGGTCAATGGGATATCTTCGTAAACATTCCAAAATTAAAAAAGAAAAAAAAAAGTTTGGAAATTAATAAGAAAACAAAACTTGGAGTGGGCTAGTCATAGAAAGATTGTTCAAAATTTTGATGTAGTAAGCTCAAAGAACCAACTACTCATTGTGCTAAAAAAAAAAAAAGTCAAAGTAACAGTGGCACCAAGGAGTGCAGAACAAATTTTGAGAGGCGACAAGTGGTGCGTAATGTATTCAAAAAAGTTTTAGATGGGACAAATGTCATCCAAAATATAAACTACTACACTTGTATTAATATATATATATATATATTCAAGATATCCAAGCGAATACCCACAACCCTTAGTGGCGCCACCCCTGGTTTTTTCAAACAGTATCTTAACTCTCAATTAAATGCTGAAAACGCTATGTGAAAATCGTTTTCATAATCTCAGCAACAAATGTATCTTGAAACTTTCAAATTTAACAACTCCATACTTAAATATTTCATTCTACAAATTTTCAATAATTAATCTCAGTTTTATCAAACAGACACACAATAACTATGCATTATCAACTAACAAAAATATAGACTACATATAAAGTATACATTTCAAGTGCCTACTTTTTTTAGGAGCCATAGAAAACTCTTATCTGCTAGTCAATTTGCTAGCAGAGAGACGGAACAAGAAGGAAACAAACAACAGGAAATTTGACTACCTTTCTGTCCCTATTTTCTACTCAACCAAACAGAGCAATCATGAAAAAAGAAATGTATCACCTTTTTTTTAGATCGAAATTATCTTACAGAGTTCACCGAAAAATTTGAACAATCAAAACGAATATATGTATATATATATATATATATATATAGAGAGAGAGAGAGAGAGAGAGAGAGAGAGGGGAACCTTGAGTTAAATCAGTGGTTTTGGAGAAATCAATTAGAGAAGCAGACTCGAGGTCGAGGCCAGGTCGGAGCTTATCAGGGAGTCTGGACACGAAGTCTTGTCTGAACGAGTTTACCGAATTCCGGCGACTGAGTCGTAAGCGGCGGCCGCTACTACTCAGCCTCCGACCATCGGTTGCCGCCGGCACCAACAGCGGCGCTTTTGCTTCCGACTCCCCGTCCGTATTCATTCCAATCCTAACTCACAAACCTTCTTCACAACCCCAACCCAACACCACGCAGCCACTACATATAGATAGATCTAGATAGAGAGGCTCGTACAATGCCGGTGTAGACAAAGATGTTTTCTTTTTTGAACGCGTCATGCGAAAAGGTTGTTTCTATCCTGTCCCGCCTTTTTCAACACCAATAATGTCCAGTGAAAGATACCATTTACACCTTGGACAAAAGGGTAATACTACGTATCATGAAATAAATATGATGAAAAATATCATGAAATTAATCTAAGGGTGAATGCATAACATACAATAAAATACTACAAACACTATAATCTAATCCAAGGGTAGAGAATCTTCATGAAAACTTTTCATGACATTGTTTTCATGATACCTAGCATTATTGTAGACAAAATAATATAGTTTAATATTTTAAAATTATAATTAAAAAAATTATAATTAATGATCTTAAAATAATATCATAATTAAAAAAATTAAATAATATAATTAAACCTTGGTTTGGTAAACATATTGGGACTAAATAAGCACGTAAAGACAAAAAAAAATCACAAAATCACAAAGTGACAAAACACTTGGCTTTTGATACAAAATTACCAAATTGACCCATATACAAATAAAAAGTCAAAAAAACATCATTTCTAAGTGGAAGGCAATTTTGTTATTCCAATGCAAAAAAGCCAAATATGAAAACCAAACGAACAAAAAAGTCCTAAGCTAAAAAAAACAAAAAACCAAGTTTGCCAAATGATACCTAAAGATACATATAATATGGAGTGTGTATAATAAAATGTTAGGATAAATTCCTCTCCATATTTTTATCTCTCGATATCCCTTTTTGTAGGTGCATTAAAAAAAAAAATACCCTTTTGTAAGTTTCAATTTGGATCTATACCGATAATTCGGACTGTTTATCTCGTAAGTTTTGTAATAGAGATCATTCATACCAAAAAAAAAATGAGTTTCATAAAAAAAAATTATAAATTAAATATATATATTTTATTTTATAAAATGAACGATAAGTGTGAGTGTAAATTTAAACTATTTATTTTATAAAATAAAATATTTTTTATTCTTGTATTTATAATTTTTTGATGAAACTCATTTTTTTTACATGAATAACTTATTATAAAACTTACAAAATAAACAATTTGAATTATTAATACAAGTCTAAATTAAGACCTACAAAAAATAATATATAAAAAAAATATAAAAGATGAAAGTATGAAAGACGGTCTATCCCATGCTTTAGTCGCAAAATTTATGGAATCGTTTGATCTAAGCTCAATTTGGGAAGAAAGTTATAAGTGGCGTTTTGACTTTTTGCCAAAACGTAAAAAGTGACTTTTTTTGGCCATAAATTGATTTGGGATGTTGGTTATAAGTCAAAAGAAAAATTACGAAATTACCCTCCATATATAGATGGAAAATGAAAGGGTAAAGATGTGTAATTTTTCAATTGGCTAGGGATACTTTGGTCATTTCATTATGATTTGACATTATAAACAAATATTAATGAAAAAAGTCAAAAGTCACTTTTTACTAACTTCCCAAATCATTTGTTTAAAAAAGCCAAAGCTTGGTTAAAAGCCAAAAAATCACTTTTTACCATTTTCCCAAAGGAAAATAATTGGTAGCTCGAAATTTGTGGCTCGATTTTGGCTGGAATGGCAAAACCACGTCGTTTTGTCATTTTTTTTTCTTCTTTTTCTTCGTTTTCTTTCTCTTCCTTTTCTTTATTTCTTTTCTTCTTCTTCTTCGTTGAACACAGGCGAAAGAGAGCAGAGCAGAGGCGAGAGAGAAACAGAGCTCGTCGGACACACCTCATCGGCGTCGTTGAACACAACTCGTTGGCGTCGCAGCTCGTCGCTCACCCCCGCCTCCGCCTCTGCCTCCGCCTCCACCTCCGATTTTGATGGCCCCCTCCAGTCCAGTTCTTTTTCTCCTTCTTCTCTTCTTCTTCTTCTTCTTCTTCTTCTTTCTTCCTCTTCTCCGAATTCGGGCCAAATTCGAGCCTCCGAATTCGAGCTACGAATCAGAGCTCCTTCCCAAAATAAGCCCTAGTTTGGTCTCCATTCCAATTTACAAAACAAATAAATAAACAAATGAAGTTTGTTCTCCATTACTGATTAATAACATTAAAAAATTAAAGTATGAAGTTATTTTATGGCAATTTGTATTTTTTAAATTGCCTTTGAAGTTTTAAATTTGTAGAATAATTTATGAAAAAAAAAATGCTTTATGTTCTAAAGTCAAACCCTTTGTCTAAAAAACAATGATTTTATTAATTTCTTACAAAAAAAATAATTAACATATTTTATTTATTTATTTACTTTTACTTTGTAAATTTAAAATTCAAACAGTAAAAATATGAAACATACAATTCTAACTTTTTTTTTTTTTTTTTTTTTACCCTAAAAGATTTGTGACCCAACTTTTTTCAACATATATTCCTCATTGAACTGATGTCTCCCATTGACTTAAACAAAACGAAAAAAACACACAAAACTTCTGATTATATACTGAAAATAAATAAATCAATCAATTAAAAAACATAATCTCCATATCAATCTTGCACCATTAGAACTTTTATTTTTATTTTTTAATAAAAAAAAACTAAAACATACACAAAGAAATATTGTTTGTTTTCTTGGACAAATCACGATAAAATAAAAAATATTATAATTATTCAATCAATTTAATTTTTGAAAAGAGAGAAAGAGAAAGAAAATATCTAAAGATATTATTGATTAACAGGAAAATGAAATTAACATATCAAGTCTTTGACTGGTGTATCAATTTAATTTTTGAAAAAGAGTGAAAGAGAAAGAATATATCTAAAGATAATATTATTGATTTACAGAAAAATGAAATCAACATAACAAGTGTTTGACTGGTGGAACTATATATACACGCATTGGTCTAACTAACAAAAAGTTTGTTACAATAGAGTTAATCTCATACAGCTCTCTTACACCCTTATGATAGTCCAGCTGTCCAACATTAGATGATATCTCAGCACTTACCAGTCCCTCTCAAGCTGAAAGGTGGGACACCATCTAAAAGCTTGGCCTGCTAAAGAGGAATCTAGCAACAGTAGAGATTTGGTAAAAATCTCAACCACCTAATCTGAAGAGGCAATATGTTGAACAACAATGCTAGAGGGTCACAATTTTTGTGGTCATAATGGCTTAAAACTGTCAAAACGATATCGTTTTGGCATGTTTTGCACCCAAAACGACGTCGTTTTGACAGTTTTGAGCTATTGTGGCCACAAAAATTGTGGCCCTCAAACATTTTCCTATGTTGAATAAGTAATTGCTTGCTAGGGTGTGGATCCCGGGTCTTTTCGGATATAAGATGCATTTTCACATTCATATTATATTTATTTTTTCATATCGGTAGAGTCGTTACTTAATTTTAGAAGAATTAAAAAAAAATTTAACAATGAAAATTAAGTAAAAGACTTGATATGTCACAACCAAACAGTCACAACCAAACAATCCAAATTCAGGAACTAAGGCACAAAAAGGAAAGGTCTTTGAATGATGCACTCATTTTTTGTCTAATCTAAAAATTGTCCTCTATTAATATTCTATTTTATGAGGTTAGAGATTAATTATTCCACAAACTTCATTATTAATCCTAAAACATTTACTAACCCTAAAACTATGTGATATAAATGAATAAATGTCACTCAATTTAGATTAGATTTATTGAATAAAGCCATGTTTTCACCAAAAATCACATTCTTCGTTAAAAAACATGTTTTCAAAACATGATGGCCATAAACGTGAACTAAATCAAGCAATATTTATGAAAATATCCAAAATAACAAATTTTTAACTCTGCTGAGGTTGTTAACAACTCCGCCGGTTCTAAGCCCGGGTTAAGGAAGAGGGTCGTGTGTTAGATAGCCGACAGCCAACACATAAAAAAGCTACTCGGATCCCTTGTGACAATTAATCCTACTTTGAATCGTTTAAATGGTAGGCTGTTCACCTCAAATGATGCGTTGTGCCGGCCTCTGGGTGTTTCGAAAAGTGAGCAAGGAGCGCCGCATCGATGCCTGGGTGAGGTGAAAAACGGGCAAACGTTCCTGCGTTTTTCTGGACGAGCGCGGGTAAAGAAGCTAGTCCAAGACTATAAGTTTAGGATAGTCACTTGGAATATAGGAACCTTAACTGGTAAGACGATGGAATTGGTAGATATTATGATTAGGAGTAGAGTTATTAGGAGGAGAGTTAGTATAATTTGTGTACAAGAAACTAAGTGGACGGGTGAGAAAGTTAGGGAAGTTAGGGAAATTGATGATACTGGTTTTAAACTGTATTATAGTGGTAAAGATAGACGCAGGAATGAGGTAAGAATCTTAATTGTCAAGGGTCTTGTGGGCGGTCATTAGGAAATGAGATAGGCTGATGTTAGTTAAACTAGTTATTGGAGGGATTATAGTGAACATTATTAGTGCATACACCCCTCAAGTAGGATTAGATGATCAGATTAAGAACGATTTTTATAATTTTTTGATGAAACTCATTTTTTTACATGAATAACTTGTTATAAACTTATAAAATAAACGGTTTGAATTATTAATACAACTCTAAATTAAGACCTACAAAAAAAATATATATATAAAAAGATGAAAGTATCCCATGCTTTAGTCGCAAAACTTACGGAATCGTCTGATCTAGTTTGGTCTCCATTCCAATTTACAAAACACATGAAGTTTGTTCTCCATTACTGATTAATAACATTAAAAAATTAAAGTATGAAGTTATTTTATAGCAATTTGTATTTTCTAAATTGCCTTCGAAATTTTAAATTTATAGAATAATTTATGAAAAAAAATGCTTTATGTTCTCAAGTCAAACCCTTTGTCTAAAAAACAATGATTTCAATAATTTCTTACAAAAAAATAATTAACATATTTCATTTATTTATTTATTTACTTTTACTTTGTAAATTTAAAATTCAAACAGTAAAAATATGAAACATACAATTCTGCTTTTTTTTTTTTTTTTTTGTATATTGTTGACCCTAAAACATTTGTGACCAAACTTTTTTCAACATATAGTCCTCATTGAACTGATGTCTCCCATTGACTTAAACAAAACGAAAAAAACACACAAAATTTCTGATTAGA